ATTAATGAACCATTACTGCCTTTTTAAAAGGTAACAAGACTGTAATTTACAACTTACTACTTAATTAAAAAGTTACTGTGTGTCATCTGTAACATTAAAAAAACTTTACTTTCAGCATGTAATTTAAAATAAACAGCAGTGACATTTACGGTTGCAAGTTTTAAAGCTCTGCATCATATCAAACATAAAATTATTAATACATAAAGTATAGGTTGCTCTGAAAAATAACGCTAAATGTAGACATACAGTAAGTGGCACAGAGAGAAAGAAGACAATACATCCTCTTGCTGCTGCCCTTATCTCTCTGTGAGGCTTCAGAGACAATAAAACATGTCAGCAGGTAAATCATGTAAACAACAAATATCATATCGGCACCCAATAAACAATTCTACTCACAATGAAGGAGGATATGTTCTTGAAAAGACAACTCTCCTCTGTGGACATCACAGTTAGTAAGAGATGAAGCTGATCAAGCGGTTAAGACGGGCCTGACTTCCTTCCTTGTCACATTATTAATATGCATGATGAGGGTGTGCTGCAATTATTGGTCTATCACACGTCATCCCTAGGAAAGATACCAGCTGATGAACAACTCAAGATTCAAAATGAGCAACGTGGCTTCTGTCCTGGTCACAGAACAGTGGAGCAGCTTTATTCCATCTGTGTTGATGGTGGTGCTGCAGGAATATGGGATAATAATAGAGGATATAACCACTGCAATCTGTCTAACAAAAAAAAACAGGACAAAAACACATGAGAAAAAGACAGGAACATACATAAACACAACCTGGTTTTTGCTATTGTAAATATCTAGCATCTACTAGTCAAATATGACTCTTTACCCCACTCTAGTGGCAGCAGTAAGAAACTACAACTAGATCAGCACAGTACATTCTTCAAACCCCTCCATGTTTTCACTTTCTGCAAATACTACAGTAGAATATGTTCCTGTTAGCTACCTGAGTTATCCGGAGAAATAACAACACATACTTTATGTTTAGCCTAACCCAACAGTTCATTTTACACAGGCCATATTGGACCGGCAGAGAATAGAAGTTAGTTCATGTCTGGCTCCTGAGTAACTTAACAACTAGCTAACAAGACAATATGATATCATGCTATCACTGTAGAGCACTTTATTAGATCTAATATGTTAGAAGATAATAGCTTACTTACACATCCAGATGACATGATGCAACACTGGAGCCGTGTATGGCCTCTCGGTTTGGTCTTCACCCATCCCTTAAGAAAAGGTCTGGGTCTTTAGCTTATGGATCTCAGAACTTCTCACCCCTTACAGCACCACCAGAACCCTCAGATCCTCCCACTGTGACACTGTGCCCAGTTTGTAGGGTAAAAGGAAGTCAGGGACAGGGTTTTTTTTTCTGTAGCGGCTTCTCGATGCTGGAATATACAGGATGAGTCTGTTTATTCTTCTAAGGAGCAGCTCAGGACTTTTATTCTCATGCTTTCAATTGTGTTTTTATTTTTATGTAGAGTTGCACAATATGGTAAAAAAAAAAGACTCATATATTTGACAGATATTGCAATTGAGATATGATTCAGTGAGGACCATGAAGTCCAATGAATTCATTTTCACAGAAAAGAAATATTAAAATCATGATTTTGTGACACTTTTTAGGATCTGTACAAATCAAACTTTTTTTTTTTTAATCTGGAGAATAAGATTCGCAGACCAGGGCATCTTTGCAGGAATACAATCCTTCATTATAATGCCGCTTTGTCACACATTTCTCCTTTATCAATAAATTGCAGTTCTGCGATTTGGATATTTTGATTAATGTGCAGCCCTATGTTCATATCTGATTCCTTGGGTTCTAAATTGTGTCATAATCCAATCTTTATCTTAATTTTAATCTTTAATCTAAAAGCTTTATTTCCACAACATTTGTTATACACATACATGCCTTGCATACCAGTATGCACATATATGTATACATAGATGTCTGTTTTTGCAAGTTTGCTTTTAAAGTACTTTATGAATGAAATGAACTGAAAACTGAAATTGGCCTAACTTTACCAGGTACAAATCTTTTGCAGTGGTGGAAGAATGTTCTTGGCTTTAGCGTCAGGTAAAAACACTAAACATTACTGTATGCTGATACATATTTAATCATCGGCTTTATAAAATATTGGATATTTTTATCAGGAACAATGCATCATATTATAATTTGTATATTTATATTTTGAGCACTTTGATCTAGCCATGTCAATAAATGTTGTAAATGGGTTAAAACATACTGAATTATAGTGGGGTAGCAGTAGCATTAAATACCCATAAGCTCAAGTAAAGTGGAGTACATCACAATAAATTATTTGAGTAAATGTATCATTTAATAAATATGTTAATTTGTGTTTTTTTTCAATAAAGAGAGTTAGCCTCAGTATTTAAAAAAATATATATTATCTTGTTTATATGATGGTCTCTTACCACTGGCAAAACCAGAAGCTGTATTTCAGTCTTCTTCATTTGTTTTGAAGCTGTAATCATTTCAATTATTAGTTAGCTTAACTTTTAGCAACTTAAGTAGCAACAGTAACCTTCACTGGCCAAAGAATAGCAGACATTTGCTAAGTTGCATTGAAAAGAAAGCACCTTTCATTCATGTTGACCTGTACTGATGCTAATGGTCTGGTTGCACAGCAGACATGTTGGATGTCACAGCAGGAAACTCACAGGTGTATTAATGGTGGCTGCATTCCACTAGTGGAGGCACTGCTACTGTGTTTGCTGGTCCACTGTCACTGTTACTGGGACACTTAATGGAACTAAGCCATCCTTATTCTTATTGAGTCCACCTGTGATCAGTCAAAATGTAGTTCAGGAAGCCTGGGAAATTTCAGTGTCCCAGCATATTTAGAAATGAATATAAAGAAAAATAAAACAGGCCTCTGACAAATTGTATTTTATTTGTGTTTCATTCTTGCAATATGCATAAATTATGCATGTTACCTGGTATATTCCTGTGGCAGTAAGTCATACAGCGTTGTAATACAGTGTTGTCTTCCCATGCTTCAACTGAAGTTTAGGTTTCAGGTAATTTGTTTAGAGAAAAGGCTCAGTTCACCCAAATCCTCAAAACAAAGGAAAAACCCTGGTGGTATTTGGCAATGCAGACGTGGACAAATAAAACCAAAACTATCTGCTACGTTGTGAAAACATGTGTTTTTATTTTTGTCAGTTGCCTTAATGCCATGTCCAAAACTATGATCTATGATACTGAATCTTGAAGTGTAAATGCAATCCCTACTTTCACCAGCAGAGGTCTGTATAATTCAAGTGTTTCCATACATGTGTTTAGATCACAGGCCTCAAACTCAAATTGGATTGGGGCCACTGCTGGTGTTCTCATCTCATAGGAGGGCCACTTCAGCGTTCAAGTACTACAAGAAAGCACAATATTTCTAAAAATATTTCCATCAGTAACATAAACTTAACAAAAAAAATTACAAACAAGTATTCACATAACCCACATGTTTTTATTTTTGTCGGTTGCCTTAATGCCATGTCCTCAGGAATGCACAATAATTCTACCTGCTCGAAGAAGGTGCACAGACAAATCCACGTTCAAACAAACCACAGATTCATGTTGTGCTCACAGTGTTTTTGTTGACTGTGCTGTACAGTGCACATGAATCCTCCACATCTTCTTGGCCTCTTCTTCTGTGAAGGGCAAAGTAAAAATTAACACTGACAGTTTCTAAACCCGATGTGTATATTTTTTATTGCATATGAGAGGAGCTGCTCACCCTGGGCCACTGCTGGCATTGTCAGTTTTGATAGCACTGTAGATAACCCCACCCTCCTCATCCTCTGTTCGTCTGCGGGGCCGAGCGTATCTGATGTTGGAGTAGAGAGCATCTTCCTGGTTTTGAGGGAAGCAGATGCTGGCGTAGTGCAGGTCATCCTGCTGTTCTGCTGGCTGTCTCTGTGCTGCAGCCGGACTCATGTTTGGCTGACGGGACAAACAGAATTCATTACTTAACCTCTGCTGCCCTGTTGCTCACCATGCTTGGGTTTGGGGTGGAATCAGGGGAGGTTGCTCTTCAGTGTCACAGCTCTTGATGTTCTTCGTTGTGAAACTAATCCTACTCTGATGAGCCCAACTATGATCCAGAAGCTTGAAGTGTAAATGCAATCCCTACTTTCACCAGCAGAGGTCTGTATAATTCAAGTGTTTCCATACATTTGTTTAGCTCAAGGGCCTCAAACTCAAATTGGATTGG